GTAATGTAAATTTCAAATTTCAGACTGCTGATAAAATGTTAATTGTTTTGCGTGCTTTTACACCGTTAGGAATTATTGTCATCGAAATGTGGAAAGTTTATTTGAAAACTTTGTCAGATGAGGTGATTTTTCATGAATTCATTTCAAAATTAAACAGGAATAAATAAAAAGGTCTTGCTTAAGCACTGAAAACAGTTCAGTAGTTTTAGAAAAAGAACATCTTATCGTATGATCAGGGTTGTCTAATCTTTATGTAACTCTAAATATGCCGGATATCCGTATCTTCTTTTTTTTTTTTTTCGAAAAACCAAGCATCAAATCATTTGGTGCACTAATCTATAGCGTTGGAAACTCTGTAGCGAAATGGGTTTTTTTTCGTTAGGAGAAAATATTAGTCAAGTTATCGTTGGTTGGCATTTTTTAAACTTGGTAGACCGTTATGTAAAGGTATTTTTAATGCCAGTAGGCTTTTCTGTTATTACCATTAGTAATTCAATTTCTGTTATTACCATTAGTAATTCCAATATGGTTTCTAATATCAGTCAAACTTACTTTAAATAACTTCATGATATTTCTGAAAACTTCTCAAGTTACTACCAAAAAAGTTTCAGGTTTTGGTGAAACTTTTACCCCAAACTCTGGTTTCAATCATTCCGTTATTGCGGTACGAGCAGGCTCGGGAGCTATTAAGATATATTTTCGAAGAAAGGCAATTACACTTTGCAGCGAAGTAAGTTTTAGCTAAACTAAAACTTTAAAGCATCTAACCCATTTGCGGGCATATGAATTTCTTGTTATCATTTATTACAGCGGTTGCCGTTTCCATTGGTTTTTTTACTTCTGATTGATGTTTAGTTTTTCAGTGGAGATTTCGAACGCATTTCTTTGGTTTTTTGGAACAATCCGAAAATTTCAATCAATGAATATCTTTCGCCGGAACTTGGAAAGTCCCCTCCGGAACTGGTTTAGTTTTGTATTTGATTTGTAGGCGGATGGTAACTGATAGTAACGTTTACAAAGAGACCAAGAAATACAAGTGTCTTGCCGCAATTTTCATTTGAAGATAAGAATTCTAGTATAGTCGCATCTTAAATATATTCGCAGAACTGTGTTCGTTTCTCTAATCATCGAATTAATTGATATTCATAAGTGAAAAGTAGGGGGTTGATGAAATTGGGTGTCGTTTCTTGATCGTACGGATAACAGAACTCTCATTACATCTGCTAGAGGTACTCTTTATTTCCATCTTTTTTTTTCAGGTTTTTCATGCATGCGCTTCTTTACTGAAGGAAAGTTATGAAGAAGTCGGTGAAGTGATATTGCATAAATTATTGAGTTTGCTTAATGAATACAGTGAACTGGCAGATAACTGTTTTGACAGCATTGCTGCAGAATTGGTTTGTTATTTTTATCATTTACATTTTTCTAAATTCCTAATTGTGCACATCTTCATATGCCTTGCATTACGATATTGCAGTGAACACAGTTTTGAACATCGTATTTTCGAGTTGCGAAATATCCTATAAGTCAGGCTAATGTTTCTTCAGCTTAATAATTCCATTTGAAAATTTGAAGTTCATAAACTGTCTTCAATTTCAGGTCCCATCACTACTGCAAATCATACGAAAAAGTTCATTAGTGGAATGTCGTTATTTAGCTTCTTTAGCACTTGGTCGTTTGGGTGCTGTTGATCCAGGTCGTATTGGTTTATCATTGGCACGTAATACAAATGGTAATCGGCATGATGGCCGATTTGTATTTGTTGATTCTGGAGAACAGGTATTAAGAATATATATTTAGAAAATCATTCTTAAAATAACAAATACTAAAATGTTTAAATTTACAAATAATTTGTTTTACTCATACTTCTACTTACTCTTTTTCCATTTTTTTTTCTATAATTTGTACTGACACATTGCGGTTTCATTAACATCCCTCTTCGTATTAAAGAATAACTTATTTTGCTCTTACTGTATAAGGTTAACTTCGTATTAGTTCTCGGGTGTCATTCACAGTTACTTATGGTTCCTAAACAAAACAGTTCTTAGTTGGGAAAATTTTTCACGTTTCAGTTTTACATTGAACTTCTGGAGCGAGCGGCGGTAGCCTTTTCCGGAATACTAGATGCTAGCATGCAAGTTGAATGTTCCTATAGCATACAAACTGTTTTACGGGAACTGTTTGGAAGACATGGTTCGGAGAGTTCGAGTCTGTGGGACATGTTAAGCGATCAATGTCGAAACTCGTTCTCGATGCTTAGGAAATCAAGTTTTATATTGCACAAGCCTTTCCAGCACCTCCCTACAAAAAGGTATTAATTTAGTTGCTGAATCATAAATAAAAATCATAGCATATGTTGAAAATTTTTCAAGCTGAATTAATAATTTTATTTTCAAACTTGCTTGCTTTTTCAGACCGATAATGGAATGTGAACAAGTGAAAGATTTTAGAAGCTGGTTGAATCTATGGTATAAAGTAACAGCTGCCAAGGTGAGTAGTGGTGGTTTTTTTCTCCTAATGGATTTTTGCTTTTGCTTCAGTTGTGTTTGTTTCTGATTTTCGCTATGATTGTCCTTGGTCATTTATGGCTGTATTGCTCTCGACTTCATCGAAATGTTACCGAAGACGGTTAAAGTAGCTCGAGCTATCTCATACCCCTTTCATTGTTTCCTTGTGTAATATTTGTAAACTTTTGACATTTCTTTCAGCTATCAGTATAACTGGCATCGAGGAAATATTATTAATTACACTTCAAACAATTACAGATACGCGACGAGAAGTTAAAAATTTTTTTTGGTGCTTTAGAAGGCTTGGTAAATGCAGATATCGTCTTTGCTGGCTTTATCCTGCCACAATTAATTCTTCAGAGTATCATTGAGCACAACATGACATGCATGAATGAGGTAATTCAAACTTGGAATTTTTCTGAATTAGATTTAAAGGTACTTGAAAAGTTGGTGTTGTTGAATGTACGGTAGCTTCTTGTAAATTGTTCGTTTATATTTGCTTAAATTTGGTTAACAACAGTCTGAAGTATGAGCCAAATTTAAGCATTCCAGAAGGACTTTTTGGTACAAAATTGATGACCAAAGGGGGGACTGAACTTGTTCATCTATATGCATATACTCTTTTCTCTTTGGTCCATCAAATAATTTGGCTAACTTCTTTGTTGTTGTAAAATTATCTATTAATTGAATATCCAGTTCCTCTTCTAAATATTTATTTTCCCCAATTAATTTGAAAGCATCAATAAATTGCACTTATTTTAGATTGGTATGGAAATAATTGCAGTGCTGCAGAGGTCCATAGTTGATAATGGATGGCCTCGATCAGCTGCACATCTGATTTTTGCTGTTATCGATTGTCTAGAGCGATATGCATATCATCGTCAATCTTTAAAAATTTCAGCTGATATGGTACCTAGATTTTCCCTACTACAAATTTTATAAGATTTCATTTTTTTGTAATCCCTTTCCGATTTTCCCTACTACAAATTTTATAAGATTTCATTTCTTTGTAATCCCTTTCCTCAAAAAATTCATATATTCAACGATGCATAACTTTATAATTAACCAAATTATAAAATTTTTTCAGAATAATGTAGGGCTTAATCAACTGAGCTGTCATCTCCAAATTTCCTATCCAAACTTCAGATTTCTTCAGGTTCTCCAACGTACCATCGAAATTCTGTCACATGTAACAACACAGACATGGGATGATGGAAACTGTTTGATTGTTGCTGCAGCTGGAGTATGCCATTGCACCACGCGAGCATTGAAATGGTTCGGTATCATTATCATTATTTAGAAAATCTGAACATTTCAACATATCTTCTCTTAAAATTATGTAACCCTTTTCCAAATGATCCAAACTCTCGCGTTGAATTACTAGAATTTTGATCCTATAGTTTTCAAACTTCAGGTGTGAGCAGTATGCAATTGGATATGATGAGAATGGCCAGACGTTATTCAAACCCGATCAGTTCAGCTTTCTTGAGGTGCAGATTTACTTTTCAACATTCTATTTCGAAATTCTTGTCTGTATATTCTTCCGAAAAAAAACTGATTCTTTAGAAAATTTATTTCGATCTGGGTGATATGGATGGCGTAGCTGGAGCTTTTGAAACGATACGTTCTTGTGCTGAACCAACGATAAACGATCGAATTTTGTCTTTGGAAGCTGATGGAAATTATTGGGATGCATTGCCTTTGTACAGAAAATCAACCAATGTCGAAGTGAGTGATAATTTATTATTTGGAATTCTTTAAGAATTGAACATAACTAATAGTTTTGTTAACTATTAAAACGTAAACTTGATTCAGCTCAATTTTCATGGAAAATATACAAAAAAAACCTATTAGATATTATATCAATATTCTCAGGGTTATTAGTTTATAAAATTACAAGGTATATTACTCATTAAATTTCAATTTAATGAGAACTGGAAACTTATTAAACCATTTACAATTCAGTGTAATGATTGCATATATCCGGCACATTTTTCAGCCTTCCTATACCAAATGTTTATTACGTCTGAATGAACCGCGATTAGCATTGAGTGGAATTGCTGATTTGTTAAGAAGACCGGAAAATGTCGAATTCCATGAAAGTAATCAATTTATTCATTTGTGAGTAAGGTAGAAGGGATTCAACTTGCAGTGATCGTCTTTTGAATGCTGAACCTTTTCTTTTTACGAATGGATGAGATTTGAAGGAATGAATTCGTAAAAATTCGGAACTTTCATGAACAAATCGATCTCAAAAAGATGGCTTCATTCTCTTCTCTCTGTCCCTCTTACTTTCTCTATTAGATTGTTTAACAATTCCCAAAATAAGAGTGTACCTTGTCATTTGAATATAAAAATAATTATGTTTCAGAATTGCGTTCATGTCAACTAGAAGCAATGTGGCAATTACAGCTCTGGGATGACTTAACAGACTTGGTGTATGAGAAGCCTAAAACGACAACATGTGGTGCTACATATGCAAGCGTAATTTGTACCCTCAGAAATCAGCAATTCAATTTATTGGATGATTATTTAGTCACTGCTCGAATGCGTTTGGCAGATGCACTAACTGCTATGACGATTGAAGATTCAGATACTTATACGCAAGCTTATAAAACTATTACACAGTAAGCTCATAATTTCTTTTTTTTCTTCTAAGATCTTGTTTCAAATATCTTACTAGGACGTATTCTTCTTGCTGGGAGATTTTTATCATCAAGAAATCGAAATGCTTATATTTATTTCTTCACGAAATTAAAAGTTTGTGTTGAATTGTCATTTTATTGAGATTCTCATATACGATTTCCTACAAATTATAATGTGCTTGCTAGTAACTTGGCTCTTATCGTTCTGGTTATTTACTTCATTTGATTAATTTACAGATTGCATATACTGGCAGAAATAGAGGATGCAAAGAGTTCATTGAAGCTAGAGAATGACAAGATTTTAACAGTGGAAGATTTGGCCAAGGTTTTGAATGTTTGGCAGGTGTGTATGAGAAGTCCTGTCAGAAATCTGACTTCAAAAAACCTCATGGTGGTATAGGGGCGGTAATAGTTGAGCATTTTAAAAGTATAGTATTTTAGAAGTATGACAGATTATCTGTCTTTAATTTCTTTTATTTGTCTTTAATACCTTTTATTTGCCTGAAAAGGACTCTTAAAGACATTACCACTTGATGACTGGTTCAAGAGGCAGTCTCACTCATCCTCAGCCCAGCCAAAGAATGGATTAAGTGAAGCTCTGATAGTATAACTAATTCATATTAAATCCATATAGCTTATAGTGTCAGTTTGCCCTCTGATAACGTTCAGATGATTGCCATGTTTGCATCTTCTTTTCGAACTATTTTGTCTTTAGTATTTGAAATTGAATATATTTGATGTTGATTCTTGAATACTCCTTTGTTATTTTTTTTTAAAAGCCAGGAATTTCGTTGTTTAGAAACGTGCAGCAAAAGCGATTCAAAGTGCTAGTGTTTTGGAGCCTATCTTGAATGCTCGTCGAAGCTTATTGGGTTTGTTGGAGGGTGACATTGGACGAGGCTCGATCTGTGATCTTTTTTTGCAAAGTTGTCGTTTGGCGAGGCACGATGGGCATCTACAAGTTGCTTGGTCATACCTTAGCCAGGCAAAAGCATTAAATGTTAATCAATTTAAAGTTGAAATGGAAGAAGCTCGATATCTTTTCCAAAAGGTTTTATAATCATCTACTCTTTCTTTAGTTTTATATTTTAATACTGCTTTGGATGAGACGGAAATAGCTTGATGATTGGTATCATAGTATTGCCAGACTTTGTTATTCAAACATCCAGCCTTGGAAAATATGTTGTACTAGTGAGGGGAAAAGATGGCATAATTTTTTTAATTTGCTATCTTCAGTCCTGTTAGCATCATTTTATGTTTCAGGGGAGTCAGGTCCAAGCGATACAAATCCTCTCAAATTTGTTAAAAAGGCATTTTTTAGACGAGGCGCAGCAGCTGAAAAATATCTCTTGTGAAGGAAGAGACATTTGTTGTAGTGAGGAAGAGGATTCTAGGGAATTAAAAAGGGGGAATGAAGACTTCGTCAAGGTTTTTTTTTTGGTACTTGATTGTCATGTATCCAATTCTTGTTAATAATACCAAAAAAAATTCTTTTCTGTACAACCAGAATGCTAATGCTAAGGTCTATAATCTTTTCATCTATTAAAAAATATAATAATACCTCAGTATGAATGAAATAAATTATTTATAGCTTTAATCGTTGAATGTAACACATTAACCGTTACATACTATCATATTTCATATCTTTACTATTTTATAATTTTGCAGGCTCAGTTACTATTTGCCGAATATTCATTGAGAGCAGGAGCCGGTAGTTATGGAGATTTTTATAAGACATATTTCTCACTTCCTTTAATTGCTGAACCTTCTGAAGATTTATTTTATCGAGTAGCCGTCTTCTTCGATAAATATTTGTACAGCAAGAACGAAGTAAGCTTTTAATCATTGCAGCTTATTTTTTCAAATCTAACGACCTATTGTTGAATTCTTTTATCACACCATTTTAATCCCATGTTTTAAAAGTCTAATTCTTCCGTTCAAATTTGAAATCTTACAAGTGGATAGTGGAAAATTGCTGAAATTATACCAGTTATTTTGATTGCAGTAGTTTCTGTTCCAAATTTCTTGTATGCAAACAGTTCAGTCCTTCCAAGATCTCTAGCTGCTGTTTTTTTTTTCCAGAATGCTGAAGCTCGTAATGTTACAATGATTTTGAAAGCCTACAGGCGAGTGTTGAAGCATGGAAAGAGTTATTTGTTTCACGTTATGCCACGAATGTTAAGTATCTGGTTGGATTACACACAAAAAATGGTAGTTTTCTGTTTTTTAACGAATAATTTCATGTGCAGTTTATTTTTGGGAAATTGATGGTTATTTGATACTTCTTGCAGGCTGAAAATGGAAGTGCACAGCCATTAGTGAAAGTACCTACAAGAGGGTTGCCATTTAAAAGTTCAGCGAGCGAAGATAAGTATGTTAAAGAGGTGTAGTGCTTTTTTCTGTTTGCAAAGAACAATTCTTTGCTGAGGCTTCGGAATTTTTTGCGTATAGCATCAGAACTGTTCATTTACCAACGGTTATGTCTGATTATTCAGTATTATTAGAACTGTCTAGTCATCTCGGATTACTAGGATTCTCCAGTAGTTGAAGGTCGTGAAGATTATGTGGCCCTGATTTGCTTTAAGAATGTCACGATGTTAAATAATTTCTGCGATTCAGTCAACTGTGGTTTAATTTTTATGACCGTTCTGACCAATGCATATTGGTTTCTTCTTAATTTCTTTAGTTTAAAAATTAAAAGACCACAGATAGAGCGATACTTTTTATTTTTTATAAAAATTTTCTTATTCAAAATCTGAGGAAGACATTTATTTATAAAAGAAATATGTAAAATGCAGGATAAGGGATGTTTTTGAGGGTTTATGCATGTTTGCAATTTATATAAAACTTTGTTCTCAATATTTATTTAAGGTTAGTTGTATGAAAAATTGTAAAATGTTGCAGATGAATGGAGTAATATACGATGGTTTCAAGTGCATTGATCATTATATGTTTTATACAGCATTTGCTCAATTAATTTCACGCATAACTCATCCAAATGAGGATGTTTTTCAAACTTTGAAGGTAAGCTAATAATGTTTTTTTGTTTCTGCCGAATAAATGTTGAGAAGAAGGATGAGATGTCGAGATATATTTCTTTTCGTTACTTCAATACGTTTCTGTGTAATCGGAATAGCGTAGCAAAACATTTCTCAAAAATTCGGTACTATTTTTGTTATAAACTAGGCATTTGAATAAATCGATATTCCGCATAAATTAATTGCAGAATAAATGCGGTAAGTATATTGATCATGGTTTTTTTTGGTCATAGGTTCTTTTTGGTTAACAAATCCAAACAGTCTAATTTTAGATGATTTTATCCACATTGATGGTGGAATATCCACATCAGTGTTTATGGCAGTCCATTGCTGTCTTCCGTTGTGACGCTGACAAGCAACCGTTACGTTTCACTCGTTGCCGTGCCGTGTATGATTTAGCTAAACGTAGAGATGAAAGTGGTCAATTGAAAAATTTAATCCCACAGTATGAATACGTTGCAGCTGCTTTCATTAGGTAATAATTTCCGAAGATGTGTACTTTTCGGTTGTTAAAAGACGTGCCTGAAATCCATGAAAGATCCACGAATTTATCACTGATAATTTTGTCATTACTCACTGTGTCGATAAATATCGATTTATGCAACGCAACAGTTATTTTGGTTTCTTTTTTTGAAACTTCATTGTTTGGATCCTTATCAAGATCTAAAAGTCCGTGAGGCATTTTCCTACCAAGAGGAACTGGATAGCCAAGATAGATGAAAAGAGAGAAGGAAAAAAGGATTAAAAAAGAAAAAATGGAAGAAATAAATATACAATTTTTTATTGTAAACGAGTACATTAATTGTTTGATTTAAGAACATTGGCAAAATAATTAGAAAAAAATACAAGAAAAAGCACATGATTTGATTCTATGAATCTGCATTTTATTATCTTTCATCTCCAATTACCTAACTTTATATTTTGAAGAGGCGTATTTTTTACAGAGTTGCGGAAGATAATTGTCCAGTAGGTACACAATCACCATTCAGCCAACGTTATGCTTATCTTTCGGAATATTTCCGAAGCGGTAAAATGAATCCGACAATTTGGAGTATGTATTTTGTCTCCTTCTACAGTTTTTTTTTTTTTTTTTCAGATTATCATAAATTTTCAAGTATGCTTTGAATGTGAGCATAGTTACCTATTTATTCAAATTTATTATCACTCTATCATTATATTATTGCTTGAACCTTATGACCAATGAAATATTCTTAAAAATTACTGTTTTATTATTTATACGCTTTGTTTCAGAGTAATTCAGTCAAGTATTTAGAAATTTTTGTTTAGCAACAGAAAAAGCTCAGGGAAAAGAGACGAAAGAACCAATTCGACCATCAATCGTCGTGCCACTGCATAAGATGATCGAACAGGCAATTCCAACCAGTGTTTTGAGCACATTATCACAATTTCCGGACTCTAATTTGGAACAGACTGTATCAGCAACTTCAAGTAGCATGAAATTCAGCACCACTTATATTCATTCATTTGATGAGGAATTCACTGTGAGTTGAACTTACTTTATCCAATTTCTAATAAGCAAAAGATTCGTATGGCATTTTAAATTTGACTCGTGTGACATTTTAAATTCTAAGCACTGTATTTGTTTGATATCAATTTCTTCATAATTTTAATTCTTTCCCGTGGTATGGCGTGCAAATTTCAAAATATCCCAATCTCACTTATCGCGAAACAATATATGAGAAGCTATGAGTAAGAACCAAATTTAAGTTCATTTTCCAGGTAATGAAGTCATTAGTTCGTCCTAAAAAGATAACCATAGTGGGATCTGATGGTAAAAAGTATCCATTGATGTGTAAAGCAAAAGATGAATTACGTAAAGATGCTCGTCTTATGGATTTCAATCGGGTAAATCTTTTGTACTGTTTGCTATTTCTTTTCCTAATATCCTATAACATGTGTTATTTTTGTAGGTTTATGAAAACAGCATGTACTTCTGCCTGAAATGTTTTATACGAAATTTTTGTTTGTGTATTCGACGGTCATAACAACGTACTTTTTGTTGAGATTAGTTGTACGATTCTCTTTAGTTTCTTTTTGTTGATATGATGTTAAGAGCAGACTTAAAACTAAGGAAGAAAAAGAGGCAAATAAAGAGAAAATAATTAACAAGCTTCAATTGACCATTAGTGTTCAAATTTATTTAGAGAAGCGAAAGATATGAAAAAGATTTACTAAGTGCTGTGATCTCAACAAAAAAAAAGCATTACGCGACATGATAGCATGTTGAATTCTACATTTACATAAAGAAAAGCAATAAAATGAAGACTTGAAGCAGCATGATCTTAACCGCATCTAATATGATGGTTTCTTAATTTCTTGGTTTCTTATTTCTTAAACTTAACTAAAAATTCTAAAGTATTTTTCAGATGGTAAATACATTATTACATCAAAATGCAGATGCCAGGCGTAGGCAGCTTCATGTCCGGACATATAACGTTATTCCATTACAAGTAACCTTCATTATTGCATTGCCAGTTGCATGCTGTCATGTATTTTGTCAGATTGGGAAGGCGAAAATTATCTTAGGATGGTCTTAATCAGCATGAGTTTCTTTTTTTTCTTTTTATCGTTCAAGCATTGCAGGATGCTGGTGGTTTAATTGAGTGGATTCCGAATCTCCAAACTTATCGACATGTAGTGGAGGAGTTGGTTAAGGAAAAGTGTCATAGCGTAATGACTGATAAAGAGTGGTTTAGTCGATGGGTACCTAATGGAACTAATGAAGAAAAACTAGCAAGATTACGGACCGAATACTATCCAAGACATCCAATTGTGATGCCCGAATGGTTCAGGTAGGAAGAATGCTGTTTTTTTTTTTTAATTTGTAAATCCTAGTTTCTAAAAAGCTTTTAAATACTGTTTCGAATACTAGATTAGAAATCTGATAATTTATAATACTCTGCAAATTCCTACTTATTGTCTTTTACTCCGAAAATCTTGAATCTACGATGGAATAAATCCAGTTTTTTCAGCAGTCATCTCTGTTTTTAGTATATTCAACTGGCTGTAATTTTTTATAGAAGTAAATGTACTTTTCAAAACAGACTTTCAGGCGTTCATTTTCGGACTCATGTCGTTGGTACGCAGCGCGTTTAGCTTTTACATATACGTCAGCGGTGATGAGTATGATAGGTTTTATATTGGGACTTGGAGATCGGCATGGTGAAAATCTTTTACTTGATCTTATCAATGGTGATGCGATTCATGTAGATTTCAATTTATTATTTAACAAAGGAGAGAATTTGAATGTTCCTGAAGTAAGATAATTTCCATGATATTGTGACGTACCCAGCTGAGTAGGCATGAGGGAAGGGTGCAAGTGTCAATCATTCTCTGCTTAGATCTTTATACCGTTTAATCAGTCTTATGGCTAGATTGTTGATGCATGTATTAATTAATGGTGGTAATAGATGAGGATTTTTATAGTTCACATCTGACAGTATCTTTTCATGTATGATTCTGAAGTGTATCTTCTTATCTTATGGACGCTTAAATTATATTATCAGAATTTCCCTATTATTCACAGTAGTTTCAATTTAGGTAGTACCATTTCGATTGACGCGGAACATCGTTGCTGGTTTCGGGGCAACTGGTGTCGAAGGCGCATTTCGTCGTTCATGTGAAACAACAATGCGTGTATTACGTGAACATGATGAAGCGCTACTCACTGTTTTGCAAACATTTGTGCATGATCCACTTCTCGAATGGATGCATAGCGAAAGCCGAGCTCAACAATATAAGCAGGTTTGTTTTAGTAGCAAATTTAGTAAATTTTAGCTTTGATTGTTGTAATAGAAGACCTTAGAAATTTTGCTACTTACTTTGTATCGCGAAAACTTGTCCACAATGTCTGGCGTTTATATTTGCGTAATTCTGGATAATTTGAAGTTAACTAAGAGGAATAGTAAGTTTAGTACCTCTTAACATTATTAATTTACAAGTGATTGATATACTTTTCTAGCGAAAGCGAAATGATGCTAAATTATCACCACCAGCAGCTCAACAACAAGCACAGGAAGCCATTGATATGATTCGATCTCGTTTAATAGGTATTGATTCAATTAAATTCTGGACTTAATTAATTTTTTTACAAATATCAGGGATTCCATAAATAATAGGATGTAAATTTGTTATGTTTATTTTAAATTCCTTGGTGACGCTTTTTTCACTTTTCATTTCACTTTGATTTCACTCGCTCGTTTGTCGGTGTCCAAAATCTCATAATTGAAGTTCCCTTATTTTTTGTATTCATGTTCCGGAAACGTATTCCACTGATTTTATACCATACCGATAGTTCTATTATCATTTTTTTCTTTTTGCAGGCCACATTATAACACCAAAAATTTATCGTACAGAAACGAATAACCCACCAATGAGCATCGAAGGACAAGTGGGTCGACTGATTGATATTTCTCGGGATGAATTAAATCTTGCCCAAATGTATATTGGCTGGTGCCCTTTTATATAATATTTTAGCAGAGATTTCAACTTTGCAAATACTTTATCGAAGTTTATTTCATTTTTCCTTTCTGTGATACATTTCAATGAAATTAAATCCTGTACAGTTGCTGCATGTGTAAAAATTTTTATTGAATAATCGGTGATTATTGATTATTGATATACTGTTGATATTGGTATATCACTGGAACCAGATATACTGCTTGAAATAATCATAGTTTACGAGCCACATCTATCCTTACTCATCGGTCAGAAAATGACTTTTTGGACAATTTCAGGTTTGGAATATTGTTGAATATAAGATTTACCATCGTAATCCCATTATTATTAGTTTACAATACTAATTCAAAAGTAGTAATGTATTATAAGTATTCTAGGAACCCATTTGCGAAATATGCATCCCAAATTTATTTGCAGTTCTGGGCTAAATTGTGTGTGTGTGTGTGTGTGTGTGTGTGTGTGTGTGTGTGTGTGTGTGTGTGTGTGTGTGTGTGTGTGTGT